GTTTGATTCAAAATGGCTGCTGCACTTTTCTGTTTCTTTCATCTCAAAATGGAAAAAAAAAAAAAAAAACACGGTGATTTTTCCGAGCTCGAGCCTTTGAATCGCGTCTTTGGATGTACAGAGTTTGTGTTACTGCAGATGACTCCATGATCAAATGAAAACAGAATACAGTTTTATTTAATTTTTTTTATAAATGTAGAAATAAAAAAGCTTCGGCTGTCGAGAAAGAAGAAGCCATTTTGTAAAACTCTTCACATTTTCGCTCCATAAAATAAAAATATTGTAAATGTCGTGAGTATTTATATTAAAATAATCTCTAAATCTCTAAAATAATACAGCTCGTGATGCAATTTAAGTTTTTTAAGGCTCTGTAACCCATAAATTTTATATATAAATGCACGTTCTAAACAGGAAGTGAGCATGGTCGCACTTTCGGCTCCATCGGCTCTGGCTCCAGTTCACTTTCTATTGACTTTTCTACACTTTGTAAAAAAAATCTTATTTATTTCTCAGTTTATAAAAGGTTTTTCAGAACTTTCAGAGGCCAGAGTGGAGTTTTGTTGTGATGGTAAAGCTACGATGACAGCAACTAGCATGTCAACAGTGCACTTCCTGATTATGAGACAATGAAATGCTTTATAATTAGACACACAACACAATGGACTTATTTTGATCTCAGCTATAGATTTGGTCTGGTTTGGCATGAATTTGGTCTGTTTTTTAAATGGATTTGGTCTGTTTTGGTACAGATTTGGCATGGTTTGGCATGGGTTTGGCATATATTTGGTCTGGTTTGGCACAGATTTGGTCAGTTTTGGTACAGGTTTAGCCTTGTTTTGGCATGAATTTTGTCTGGTTTTTGAATGGATTTGGTCTGTTTTGGTACAGATTTGGTGTGGTTTGGCACAGTTTGCCGTCATTTGGCACAGATTTTGTGTGAGTTGGCACAGATTTGGCCTGGTTTGGCATGGATTTGGCCTGGTTTGGCACGAAATTGTCCTGTTTTGGCACAAATTTGGTCTGGTATGGCACAGATTTGGCATGGTTTGGCACAGTTTGGTCTGGTTTGGCATGGATTTGGTCTGTTTTGGTACAGATTTGGCCTTGTTTTTGCATGATTTGATTTGTTTTGGCTTGCGCTGGTTTGGCACAGATTTGGCCTGGTATGGCACAGATTTGGCCTGGTTTGGCATGGATTTGGTCTAGTTGGATCTGTACTGGGGACACATTTTACTGAAATACACAGAAAAACTTTTAAACTTCCATTTAAAATCTAAATAATTTTGTTATTTTTTGTTTTTCTTCCAGAAGGGAGAGGTGGCGTGTCATCTTGTATTTTTATATTTTTGTATATTTATAGTTTTGTATTTTTATATTTTTATATTTTGTATTTTTGTTGTTTTGTTTTCTCGTGTAGAAAGGGGGAGGTGGCGGGTCATCTTGTATTTTTATATTTTTATATTTTTTTGTGTTTTTTGTTTTTTCTCGTGTAGAAGGGGGAGGTGGCGGGTCATCTTGTATTTTTATATTTTTATGTTTTTTTGTTTGTTTTTTTCTCGTAGAAGGGGGAGGTGGCGGGTCATCTTGTATTTTTATATTTTTATATTTTTATGTTTTTTTGTTTTTTTTTCTCGTAGAAGGGGGAGGTGGCGGGTCATCTTGTATTTTAATATTTTTATATTTTTGTATTTTTGTTTTTTTTTTCTCGTAGAAGGGGGAGGTGGCGGGTCATCTTGTATTTTTGTATTTTTATATTTTTTTTTGTTTTTTTTCTCGTAGAAGGGGGAGGTGGCAGGTCATCTTTGTATTTTTTATTTTTATATTTTATGTTTTTTTGTTTGTTTTTTTTTTCTCGTGCAGAAGGGGGAGGTGGCGGGTCATCTTGTATTTTTATATTTTTATATTTTTATGTTTTTTTTGTTTGTTTTTTTCTCGTGCAGAAGGGGGAGGTGGCGGGTCATCTTGTATTTTTATATTTTTATGTTTTTTGTTTGTTTTTTTCTCGTAGAAGGGGGAGGTGGCGGGTCATCTTGTATTTTTATATTTTTATGTTTTTTTGTTTGTTTTTTTCTCGTGCAGAAGGGGGAGGTGGCGGGTCATCTTGTATTTTTATATTTTTATATTTTTATGTTTTTTTTTGTTTTTTTTCTCGTAGAAGGGGGAGGTGGCGGGTCATCTTGTATTTTTATATTTTTATTTTTATGTTTTTTTGTTTGTTTTTTTTCTCGTAGAAGGGGGAGGTGGCGGTCATCTTGTATTTTTATATTTTTTTTATTTTTATGTTTTTTTGTTTTTTTTTCTCGTAGAAGGGGGAGGTGGCGGGTCATCTTGTATTTTTATATTTTTTATATTTTTTATGTTTTTGTTTGTTTTTTTTCTCGTAGAAGGGGAGGGTGGGGTCATCTTGTATTTTTTTATTTTTTTATTTTTTATGTTTTTGTTTTTTTTTCTTGTGCAGAAGGGGGAGGTGGCGGGTCATCTTGTATTTTTATATATTTTTATGTTTTTTGTTTGTTTTTTTCTCGTAGAAGGGGGAGGTGGCGGGTCATCTTGTATTTTTATATTTTTTATTTTTATGTTTTTTTTTTTTTTTTTCTTGTAGAAGGGGGAGGTGGCGGTCATCTTGTTTTTATATTTTTTATGTTTTTTTGTGTTTTTTTCTCGTAGAAGGGGGAGGTGGGGGTCATTTGTATTTTTATATTTTTATATTTTTATGTTTTTTGTTTGTTTTTTTCTCGTGCAGAAGGGGGAGGTGGCGGGTCATCTTGTATTTTTATATTTTTATGTTTTTTTGTTTGTTTTTTCTCGTAGAAGGGGAGGTGGCGGGTCATCTTGTATTTTTGTATTTTTATTTTTTATTTGTTTGTTTTTCTTTAGAAGGGGAGGTGGCGGGTCATCTTGTATTTTTATATTTTTATGTTTGTTTGTTTTTTTTTCTCGTGCAGAAGGGGAGGTGGCGGGTCATCTTGTATTTTTATATTTTATATTTTATGTTTTTTTGTTTGTTTTTTCTCTCGCAGAAGGGGAGGTGGCGGGTCATCTTGTATTTTTATATTTTTATTTTTATGTTTTTTTGTTTTTCTCTGCAGAAGGGGAGGTGGCGGGTCATCTTGTATTTTTATATTTTTATATTTTTATGTTTTTGTTTGTTGTTTTCTCGTAGAAGGGGGAGGTGGCGGGTCATCTTGTATTTTTATATTTTTATATTTTTATGTTTGTTTTTCTCTCGCAGAAGGGGGAGGTGGCGGGTCATCTGGCGCCGGAGGACGGCCGGGAGCAGCTGATGTTCGAGGTTCCTCTGAACGAGTCGGGATCGGCCGGACTCGGAGTCAGTCTGAAGGGAAACAAGTCCAGAGAAACTGGAGAAGATCTGGGAATCTTCATCAAGTCCATCATCCACGGAGGAGCCGCCTACAAGGTGAGGAAGAAGAGGAGGAGGAGGAAGAGGAGGAGGAGAGAGAGAGGAGAATAAGGATTAGACAGGAGAGAGGAGGTAGAGGAAAGAGAGGAGATGAGGTGGAGGAGAGGAGAGAAAGAGCAGCAGGAAGGGGGGAAACAGGGAGGAGGAGAGGGAGAAAGAAGGAGAAGAAAGGAGGAGGAGGAGAGGGAGAAAGATGGAGGAGATAGGAGGAGGAGAGGAAAGAAGGAGGAGAGAGAAGGAGGAAGAGGAGAGAGAAAGAGGAGGAGGGGGCGAGAGAGTGAGAGAAGAAAAGGAGGAGAGAGAAGAGAGAGAGGAGTGCAGAGGGAGGAAGAGGAGAGAGAGAGGGGAGGATGAGGAGTAGGAGGGGAGGGGGAGGGACATGTGAGAGGAGGAGGAGAGAGAGAGGAGGAAAGAGTGAGAGAGGAGAGAGGAGGAGAGAGAAAGGGAGAGATAAACAAGAGAGGAGGAGGGAGGAGGAGAAGAGGAGGAAGAGGAAAGAGAGGGAAGGAAGAGGAGGAGGAGAAGAGGACGAGAAGGACAGGAGGAATGGAGGGAGGAGAGAGCGATAGAGGAGGAGGAGAGACAAGGTGTTATACTGAATCGGTGCTAGTTCAGCCTCTGCAGCTCAGTGAGGGAATTCTGGAGGGTCTAAACCAGGACTAAACCAGGACTAAACCAGGACTAAACCAAGACTTAAACAAGACTTTAAACCAGGACTTTAAACCAACCAACTTAAACTTAAATCAGAACTTAAACCAGGACTAAACCAGGACTAAACTAAGACTAAACCAGGACTAAACCAAGTCTAAACCAAGACTTAAACCAGGACTAAACCAGGACCTAAACCAGGACTAAACCAGGACTAAACCAAGACTTAAACCAGGACTTAAACCAGGACTAAACCAGGACTAAACCAGAACTTAAACCAGAACTTAAACCAGGACTAACTAACCAAGACTTAAACCAGGACTAAACCAAGTCTAAACCAGGACTAAACCAGGACTAAACCAGGATTAAACCAAGACTAAACCAAGACTAAACCAGGGACTAAACCAAGACTTAAACCAGGACTTAAACCAGGACTAAACCAGGACTAAACCAAGACTTAAACCAGGACTTAAACCAGGACTAAACCAGACTTAAACCAGGACTTAAACCAGGACTAAACTAAGACTAAACCAGGACTTAAACCAGGACTAAACCAGGATTAAACCAAGACTAAACTAAGACTAAACCAGGGACTAAACCAGGGACTAAAACAGAACTACACCAGGTCTAAACCAGGACTTAAACCAGGACTAAACCAGGACTGAACCAACCAAAGTCAAATAAAAGTGCTGAAGTGTTGAAGCGTCCGTTTTGTTTATCTTCATCAGCACTTTCTCTCGTCTCCTCCTTTCTCCTTCACTTCTCACCTCCTTATCTCCTAACTCCTTTCCTCGCTTCCTTCCTACCTCATCCCGCTCGACCCGCCTTGACCCCCGCGCGCCCTTTGACCCCGAATAACCACGTCCTGTCAGCAAAACGTCCGCCTCATCTGCGCCACTTCAACGCAGGAAAAAAACACTCCACTTATTTA